CGCCCGCCCGGGGCCCAGCGCGCCGCGGGCTGCGCGGGGCGGGAGTGCCCAGCCGGCCGTGACCCCGACCCGTGGTCCGAGGGGCGCCCGCTGCGTGGGGCTTCCGTCACCTGTCAGCCCAGTGCGGGGAAATCATTTCCGGTACCACGGCTGTAACGCCCCACCGGGAATCGCACCTCGGCGCGCTCCCGTGGCTAGGCAGCGCCTTCCCCTGCCTCTCTCTGTCCCTGGGGCGTTTGGCCGGGACCTTAACTCTAGGAGCCATTGTGGTCAGCACCAGGGCTTGCCAAGCCCCCCACCCCGCCGCACGGAGCACTGCAGTGTGCAGGCCTCACGCGGCTGTTATCCCCCTCGGGCGGGCAGACGGGGAAACCGAGGCATTCCGGAAATAAGTTGCCCGGGGTCACGCAGCCTGTGGGGGAGGGAGGGGAGGGTTGAAATGTGAACCCCCCTCCCTTCCCCATCTGACGGCCCTGCCCCGCCCTCCCTGCAGCCTCGTTTCTTCTGCTGGAGAATGAAGGGGTGTGGGAGAGGAATGGATCAAAGTTTCTCAGAAGGGGGTTAGCATATCTGGAAACACGATGCGGGGGCAGGAGGCACACGTAGTAGGTGGACATGTTGTTTTATAGAAGTTTCACAAACGCACACGTGTTGGTTTGTATCTGTGTACTTCGTCACACTGGAGGATCCATGCGTTTCTTTCTGTGGGTCCCTGTGACGTGTCCGCACTGCAGGACTGTGAGGTCCCTCTCCAGCCCTGTCGCTGTTGTCCCGAGGGCAGGTAGTAGCCCCTTGAAGCACAAGGCTCTCCTCGCGGCGGGTGTGTATAACCGCCTGGTATTTCCACCATAACCAGCAAGTCCCGAGTGGCCTCCCCGGGCCTTCCAAGCCATGTAGGCACAGGGAGCTTCATTAGTGGCAGATGATAACCCTGTTGGTTTTAAATAAAAGCAGTTATGGGAGATATTTCAAAGCCTGGGAGAAATGGATTTTGGATTGCCTGTTACTTGGGGGTCGGTGTGGAGACGGGAAATTCTGGTACAAACCAACACACATTCCTGGCCACCCCCTGCCCCAACATCGCACAGATTGACAGGCACTGACCCAAATCTGGAAGAGCTAAGATCTGTCCAAAATGTATTTAAATTTTTTAACGTTTATTCATTTTTGAGAGATGGAGAGAGACAGAGCGTGAGGGGGGAAGGGGCAGGGGGAGAGAGAGACACAGGATCCGAAGCAGGCTCCAGGCTCCGAGCTGTCAGCACAGAGCCCGACGCGGGGCTCGAACCCACAAACTGCGAGATCGTGACCTGAGCTGAGGCCGGGCCGATTGAGCCACCCAGGTGCACCAGGTCTGTTCAGAATTTAAAATCTAGCCGCATCGCCCCCCAGACACGAGACTCGTCTGGAGGGCTTTCAGCAATGTACATTTCCAGGTTGCAGTTTCGGTGGGCCCATAGTGTAGGACTCTAGAATTTGCACCTCTAACAAGCTCCTGGGTGGGTCTGAGGCACACTGCCCCCGGGGAGACCTTGGGGCTGGTGCCCATGGTGGGAGCCCAGTTCGTAGGTGCGTTTCCTCCCTAGTTGAGCTCCAGGCCTTTCCAGAGTGGTTCTGGCCTGGTGGGCAGTTCCAGAGCCTGGGCCGAGCCTCCAGGGCCCGCCCTCCTGCCCAGCTCTGCCCTGTCCTCACCACCCAGCTCTGTGCCTGGCAACAACCGAAACACACCCGCTTTGTGGCCCTCACAGTGGCTTGTCCCCAGAGGACGCCAACAGCCTCCGTGCCCTGGCTGAGAGCCATCCCCCTCAACAGGAAAACTCCATCAAACTGAGAAACTGCCGAGCACTTACCCGAATCGTTTCTGCTGCTATAAAGATCGGCACTTCAAGAATTTTCTTGGACAGAAGGTACAGAATAACCTTGCCTTCTCACCAAGTCACACTGATAGTAACTTAGAAAAGAGTCAGTTTGGATGTGCAGTAGTCCTTGCTCCTAGCTTCTGACCCGCAGCAGTTCTGCTTTCTCAGAAAATGGAACTGAGGGCGCCTGGGCGGCTCAGTGGGTTAAGGGTCCGACTCTGGCTCAGGTCGTGATCTCGCCGTTCCTGGGTTCGGGCCCCATGTTGGGCTCTGCTGACAGCTCGGAGCCTGGAGCCTGCTTCCCATTGTGTCTCCCTCTCTCTCTCTCTGCCCCTCCCCCCCCCCCTCTCAAAGATAAACATTTAAAAAAAATTTCTTTTTAAAGAAAATAGAGCTGGCTTTCAAATGCGGTCGGTGACCTCTAGGTGAAGAAAAGCAGGTTTAAGGGGAGAAAAAGCAGGTTTAACTGACAATTATTCTGTAAAGGGAAGAATTGTATTTAATGTAATTTCCCTTTCCCCCTCGCGTACCTGCTCATTTGGGGCACTTCATTGGCTCAATGGGGTAGGCAGCATTTCCCAAAATGGCGGCCCCCCTCCTGGTCTCTTCCTGCGTGGCAAGGGACCCAGCTTGAAGGTTCCAACCCACTGTGGTTGTCCCACAGCGTCCTTGTCTCCTAACAGTATCTTCTAGCAAGATAGGGGTGCTTGTTTGTTTTTAATTCCATGTGAACAAACTGCACACCCCTAATTACTGGAAGCCTTGGTGGGCGTCTGCCCATCAGATTGACCCCTACTCGCCACCAGGGAGCGGGAGGGGCCGTTACTAGGAGGTGGCTCTGGAGCTGGGCTGCTCCCGCTCGAATCTCATTACTTCTCTTGCCTTGGTTTCTTTATCTGTGAATTGGGGGTGATACAATAGTCATCTAGCCTTATGAGGTTGTGTGTGTTTTGGGGGGGGGGCGGGGATTAAAACAATGAACAAATAGTTCCTGACTCATACTAGTTGTCTGACCTTCCGTGCCTACATCAACACGCCCGAAACAAATAAGAGGGTCTCGTTGGCACTGTACCTGGCCAGCTCCAAAGCTCTTCCTCGTTTGCTTCTCACAGCCTTATTATCCCCATTTGTGGATGAGGAAACTGAGGCTCCAAAGGGCTAAGCAGTGCTCCCGCATTTACGCAGTCAGGACGGCATTGGCCGGAGCCCGCACCCCTCCCTTGGCTCTACCGGGTGCCTGTGTGAGATTTGGAGATGGCTGCCCCAGAGAGTTTGCAGGTTGGGTTGCTAAACTTGGGGGGCTTTGTGCACTTGAACTTAAGATAAAGCAGGAAGTCTGCGCTGAGGTAGTCAGGGCTCACCTGTTGGCCCAGGTGGACCTGGAAGGGAATGGACAATCTTACTTATTTTTATTTTTTATGTTTATCTATTTTTTGATGTTTTATTTATTTTTGAGAGAGAGACAGAGCACAAGTGGAGGAGGGGCAGAGAGAGAGGGAGACCCAGAATCCGACGCAGGCTCCAGGCTCTGAGCTGTCAGCACAGAGCCCGACGCAGGGCTCGAACTCACGAGCCATGAGATCATGACCTGAGCCGAAGTCGGACGCTTGACTGACTGAGCCACCCAGGTGCCCCTTCTTCTTAAACTTTTTAAACGTTTATTTATTTTTGAGAGAGAGAGAGAGAGAGAGAGAGAGAGAGAGAGAGTGTGTGTGTGAGCAGGGAAGGGACACAGAGAGAGGGAGACAGGATCTGAAGCAGGCTCTGTGCTGACATCAGAGAGCCTGTCGCGGCGCTCGAACTAAGGAACTGAGAGATCATGATCTGAGCTGAGGGTGGGTGCTTAACCGACCGAGCCACCCAGGTGCCCCAATTTTTAACTATAATAGAAAACATGTAGCATCAAATTTACCATCTTGACCATTTTTAAGTGTACAGTTTGGAGATATGAATCTCTCATAATGTCCTGCCATTACCACTACCCATCTCCAGAACTTGGTCATCTTGTAAAACTGAAACTGTGTCCCCTTTGAACAATAACCCCATTTCTCCCGCCCCCCACATTCATTCTGCTCTCTGCCTCTGTGGATCTGACTGCTCTGGGGACCCCGCACAGTGCAGTCATATAGTGTTTCTCTTTTGGTGACTGGTTCATCCCACTGAGCATGATGTTTTCGAGGTTCGTCCATGCTGTAGCAGGTGTCAGGGTTTCCTTCCTTCTGAAGGCTGTGAACTGTTTTGTTGTTGCATTTTTTTTTTGCCCGTTCGCCCGTCGGTGGACACTTGGGTTGCTTTCACTTGACTTTCGCGAGAGTAGTTCACTGCCGTGAACTTGGCCGTGCAAACATCTCTTCCAGGCCCTTTGTGTATATACCGACAAGGGAAGCTCTCGGGGCGCAGGGAAGGCTCTCAGACATGGATCATTAGTAACTTTGTCAAAGAAGAGTTCCATCAAAATGCGGTTTTAAGGATGGATGTGAAGGAAGCCCGGCTGGGTGATTTCATTTCTGCAGCTCTTGGGAGACCGCTGTCTGGGGGTGTGGCGTGAGGAGGGCACAGGTCGAGGCCGCCTGGTTGAGGGCGTGGGCTGACAGAAGCCAGGCGGGACGACAGCGCCGGTGGCAGCCGCAGCGACAAGAGCACCAGCCTGTCCTGGCTGGGAGCTCGGGGCAGGTGGCCCGAAGCGGACTCTTTGCTGGTTTTGTCCGACACCGTCCGTTTCAGCCACCCCTTCCGTGCTCTGGGCTCACTGCTCTGGCCCATCACCAAGGCGGCTCCGTGAGGCGGGTCCCGGCTGGAAACAAAATGGCACCCTCAAGATGGTATAGCTCAAGGAGAGGTTAATAGAGACACTTGCCAGATGTGGGCATAGCATAGGGGAACCGCAGGACCTGTGGTTCACCAGCAGGGGTCAAGGGGTCATCCCTCCTAGCCCCGAAGGAGCAAGGCTGGGAAGTTCACTGTAGCCCCGGAAGGCTGCTGCCGAGAGGCCTCCCTCCAGGGAGGTGTGAGCATGGCTGCAGGCCAACAGATCCGGCCCTAAAGCCTCCTGCTGGGGCTCCCAGCTGTCTGAACCCAGCGGGCAGCTGGGGGGGCGGGGGAGCCACCAGGGGGTGGGGGAACCGCAGTGAGCAGCCTGTAGCCCCCCCCCCCCCCCCCCCCCCCCCCCCCCCCCCACCGGGGGAGACCCAAGACTTGCCAGGGACACAGAGGGAAAGCGGATTCGCTTTTCAAGCCAAGTGAGTCGGACGCACGTTCCAGCTCCGGTGGGGCCCACGCCAGCCAGCCCACCTCTGCCACCGCGGCCCCTGGGTGGCCGATGCCCTGAGCGGTCTCTCCAGCACGTGGAGGGGCCACTTGGAGCCTCCAGCGAGTCTGAGGGGCGCTGCCAGGGAGGCGGGGAGGGCCGGATGACATTGGCAGAAACGGAAAACCCCTGGCCTCAGCCTGTCCTTTTGAACATAATAGTTGCGTCTTATCTGCATTCTTTATCCCTTCAAAAATGTTTATTTTTAGTTTGGCTTTGTTTTGCTTATTCTACACAATTCCAACAGCTCGTGGTGGTGGTGGTGGTGGCAGCGCTGTGGACCCTGGAGACTTGATGGGCCCTCCTTCTCCCCAGCCTCCCCCATCCCCGTGACCCCGTAGGCTGGGGGCGGTGGACCCTGTCACACGGCCCGTGGGTTGCAGGCAGGGACCCGCTCTGCAGCGTCTGCGGGCAGGGCTCGGAGCTGGGACTCGTTCAGTGTGGGTTTTCAGATGTGGGGGTGCCTGGCGCACAGGAAGGGGCTTGTCCCTGGGAGGGCCTTGACCGCCGTGGGGAGCCTCATCCAGCCCAGGGCCAGGCGCCCGAGAGGGCAGAGGGTCAGCCTGGCCCGGCTTCAGACATGAGATTTTTTTTTTTTTTTTTTTTACATCGAAGAAATTCTTTTCATTATTAACTCTTTTCTTCAAGTCTTTGTTTCTAGGTGTTTATATTTTTATTGTATATATCTTTTTTTTCTTTTCTTTTTTTTTTTTTTTTTTTTTTTTGGCTTCCACGGGTCATATAATCGGTCCCACATCTCATGGCCTTCCCATGCCTGGGCTGGTGGCTATGGCTTCATTGAGTGGAGATGCCATGGTTTACTCGCCACACTGTTTTCCAGTGCCTTTCTTGGCCTCCTGTACACTTGGCACTTTGCCTTCCTGCTGTCAGATGCTGTTGAGGCAGGACGGAAGCGGCCAGAAAGGGGCCGATGCCCCTGTGGAAGCGTCTCCTGGCTTGGCTGGCGCCGGGCTGCACGGGGTGGGTAGGAGACTGCGGGGTGTTCCCGCAGGGGTCGCCTGGCCCGCGCCCGCCTGCCCTGGGGACGCCGGGCTGCCTTCCAGCCACGCTGAGCAAGCCAGGTGGTTCCTCAGACGGCGCTGAGCCCTCCCCACGGCAGCTCTGGTTTCAGGGAAAGTTTGTTGACAATCTTAAAATGTTTTATAAACATTTTGGGGTTGGCAAAAAAGCTGGGCTGTGTTTTGCCAAACACATTTTGCCCTCGACTTTTAAACTGACGTGTATTTTAAGGGAAACATAATCTGCGCCCTCTTCAAGTGTTTACTTAATTCACACAAACGTCGTTCTCTTAGAGGTCTGGTATATGCTATCCAAGAAGACTGAAAAACATGTCTTCCTTTTTTTTTTTTTTTTTTTTTTAAATTCTGTTTCCTAAAACCCAGGGAGTTGGGTTCTTCCAAGAGCAACTAAACTAAAACCCAGGGCCCCCCAAAAAGTGCAAATCAGCTTGAAACTGCCCAGGAGATTCTGAATCCCTATCTGATACCATTTTATTCATTTGACAGACAGAGAGAGAGAGGGAATCTCAAGCAGGCTCTATGCTCGGCATGGAGCCTGACACAGGGCTTGGGCCCACAACCCTGGGACCATGACCTGAGCCAAAATCAAGAGTTGGACGTTCAACCGACCGAGCCACCCAGGTGCCCCTTGACTGCAATCTTCAGCGTAATTAATATAGCCCACGCGTGTAGATATTTGAACTCATCAATTTCTTTCTCTGTGAAATGGATCTTAAGTCAAACATTCCTTTGATTCTATTGGTTTTCTGGTCCCTGGATTCTTCTAAAAATACACTCAGGTTCAGTTTGCTATCAAGAGTGGTTATCCGAAGTGGAAACGTGTTGACCTGAAGGACAGGCCTCCTATGACAGGGCACCTGACAGCTTCCAGAGCTGCTCTGTGAGCCTTGATCCCACAGCCACGGTGACAGTCAAAAGACTGACAATTGCACTGTGAGCAGTTGGATGGGCAGGTGCACTTGGCCAAGACCCCAGGCTCTGTGTGGCCCTCCCTCTGCCCTAGACCTCCACCCTCGCTGTATCCGTGCGGGATCCACCGTTTCTGCCAAGCACCTAAATTCTGGCCTCGGGGTCCCTTCTTGGATTGGTGTGTGACATCTTCTGTTGCGGGACACTCTCCTCTCTCCTCCCCACATAGGCACTGTGACACCCAGGCTTCTGCTCTGTTGACCCTGTCATGCCCTGTCCAGCACATGTCCTGTCGCTGTCTGTCCTTCGGGGCCAGTACTCTCTTCGAGGGCAGAGAAAATGCCTTAGTCGTTTCTGCTTCTGTATTAGTTCCCTGCGGCTGCTCTGACCACTGGTCACACTGGGTGCCCTAAGACACAAGTTTATTCCGGTCCGGTTCTGGAGGCCAGAGATCCAAAATCGGTGTCGCTGGGCCAAAGCCGAGGTGTTGGCAGGGCCACTGTCCCTCTGAACCCTGCAGGGGAGAGCTGGTCGCCTCTGCCAGTTTCCGGTGGCCGCTGGGTGCTCCTTGGCTTGGGTGGCATCAGCCATGTTCAGGGCACCTCCGGTCACTGCTGTTTCCACAGCGGCTTCTCTGTGGGTTCCTCACATCTCCTTCTGCCCCTTCTTACAGGGACACTTGTGGTGGTATTTCTGGCCACCCTGAGAATCTAGGATACTGTCCTCATCTCAGAATCCTTCATTACATCTGCAATGTGTCCCCCCCCCCCCCCAAGCAAGGTAACGTTTCGTTTCCAAGAATCAGGGCCTGATACCTTTGGGACCAGTGTCTCTTCCCAAACATAAGAACAGCCACCATCCAGCATGCACTGCGTCTGCACAGCCACCCTGGGAGGCGGGCACTGTTACTCTTCCCAGGGCCCATCAGGAGACGGGGGTGCGGAGGGGTGAGACCGGGCCTGCACCAGGAGCTAAGCCAGGCGTTAGGTGTGCCCTGGGTCTCCTTGCCTCCTGCCTCTGGGACACCGGGTTGTTCAGTGACTAAGTGGATTCAAACCCCTGCGAAGTTTGAAGACTGAAAGGAACCAGTGAGGAAGGGGGAGGGAAGAAGAGGAGGGAGGAGGAAGACAGAGAAAGACGAAGAGCAAGGAACAGAGGGATGGGGGTAGGGGCGCCTGGGTGGCTCAGTGGGTGGCGACTCTTGATCTCAGGTCATGATCTCACGGTTTGTGGGTTTTAGCCTTGCCTCAGGCTCCGTGCTGACAGGGTGAAGCCTGCTCGATACCCTCTCCTTCTCTCTCTGCCGCTTCCCTGCACTCTCTCTCTCCCAAAATAAATAAACGTTTTTTAAAAAAGATCGGGGGCAGGGAGAGTGCCCCCTGAATTTCTCCTGGTGCCCCATCGCTCCCAAGATTCCCAGACTGGACTCGTCGATCGTCCCTGCAAAGGGCCAGTCGCTCCGGACTCGCCTGAGACACTCCCTGCCCCCGCGAGAGTTGCCACGGCCTGGAACACTCACGTGTCCGCCTCGTCCGCAGGCCACGAGAGCTACGTGACCTTCTGCCACCTGGAGGACGAGGCCGCCTTCACGTGCAGCGCTGACTGTACCATCCGGAAGTGGGACGTGCGGACCGGCCAGTGCCTGCAGGTGTTCCGGGGACACACGTCCATCGTGAACAGGTCAGCGTGGCCGGGGACCCCCTGCCCCGGAGGAGCTGAGCGCCGGGGAGGCCTGCCCGTGGACGTGCGCGGAGGTCGTCGGGAGCGCGTGGCCACGGAGGCTCAGGACGGATGTCCCCCGGCTGCATGTGGGGGTCCGGGAGGAGGTCGGGGAAGGGATGCCCGACCTGGGGGCCCCACTGCTAGGCACGGGGAAAGGCATTGGAGGCCACGGCCCCTCCTGATGTGAACAAATTCCAGACAAAGTGGCTTAACAGGTACCTGATGGTGGACCGGGGGCTTTGCTTTGGTTCTGAAGATAGAGCCCAGAGTGGTTTTAAACCTCTCCTTTCTGTGTTGTGGTTGAAATATGCCACCCCCTCCTCAAGGAGGTTGGAAGTTTTCCTTGAATTTGGGTCTGAGCTGAGCCGTGAAAATTCCTTTGCTGATCAGATCAATTTGACACTATTTATGCAAATTGTGGTGGCTGTCTTAAACTCCGGAGGGAGGGCCCGGTATAACCAGGGGGGACGGGCACCTGCGCGCAGGCCCTCGAGGCCTCTCTGATGGGGGTGGGGACTTCCTGGGGGGTGTGCTGAGTCAGTCAGGGAAAGGGGTCAGGGGCTGGGCCAGGGCAGGTGGAGAGGGAGGGCTGTTCTCAGTCACAGGGGACACTGCTTGTGTGATTCACAGGCTGGGTCAGCGTGAGAAACTGGCCCAGTGGTTTAGGGCTCGGTGGGAGGGAATGGGGGGCCAGACCGACCATTAACTGACTGGGGTACCAGCTGCCTGTGGTGCTGCCTGCGGTCAGAACCTTATTACCCGGCAGGAACCAGGTAACATCTCTCAGTAGAAAGACCGGGGGTTGTGTTGGCTCAGGATGCTTCTGAGTGGAGAAGAAGGCCTGGAGGGAGCCCTCGTGCCTTCCAGCGTCTGCATTGCTTTTTAAATTTATTTTAATTTTTTTTTAATGTTTATTTATTGTTGAGAGAGTGAGAGCACAAGCAGGGGAGGGGCAGACACACACACACACACACACACACACACACACACACACACACACACACAGAGAATCCAAAGCAGGCTCCGAGCTGTCGGCACAAAGCCCAACGCGGGGCTCGAACTCATAAACTGGGAGATCATGACCTGAGCTGAAGTTGGACACTCAACCGACTGAGCCACCCGGGCACCCCCAGCATCCGGGCTTCTATTCTTCTGCCTCTTTAGCTAGAGCAAGTGAGGTCCGGACACTGAGGATCAGGGCCCCGATGACACAGGTGGCCGAGGGGGTCATACCTCCTGCTGGCCATTTCCCGAAGCTCTTCCTTGAGGAAGAAGTTAGTGATGGGGCGCCTGGGTGGCTCAGTCAGTTGAGCGTCCGACCTCAGCTCAGGTCATGATCTCACACTCGGTGAGTTCGAGCCCCGTGTCGGGCTCTGTGCTGACAGCTCAGAGCCTGGAGCCTGCTTCGGATTCTGTGTCTCCCTCTCTCTCTGCCCCTTCCCTGCTCATGCTCTGTCTCTCTCTGTCTCAAAAATAAATAAAACATTAAAAAAAAAAAGTTAGTGACTAAGGAAAAGCACGGGTGTGTGGGATTCTCCCACTGGGGCTGGGGCTGGGGCGGACAGGACAGGCCATATCTCAGGTGACCAGCTTGCTCTCAGGTTGTTGCCGGAAACTATCAGTTGCTCCTCAAAAGCAAACCCGGACAATGAAGGCTAGAAATTCTAGTCTGCCAGGCTTAGGCTGAGCACACACACACCACTTTTGAGAGGTTGCTGTTCCAAACTGATAGTTCTGGGGGCGCCTGGGTGGCTCAGGTGGTTAAGCGGCTGACTCTTGGTTTCAGCTCAGGTCATGATCTCACGGTTCGTGGGTCTGAGCCCTGAGACAAGGTCTGTGCTGACAGCATGGAGCCTGCTCGGGATTCTCCCTCTCTCTCTCTCTCTCTCTTTCTCCCTCTCCTCTGCCTCTCCCCTGATCTTTCTGTCTTTCTCTCTCTCTCAAAATAAAGAAATAGACTTAAAAAAAACAAACAAAACCTGATAGTTCTGCGTAGATACTAAGTCTTAGTGTATTGCATCACGAAGTAAGTGCTCATGACTGTGCAGTATCCCTGGGGCCACCACGTGGAATTCACTTCTTCCCATGTTTTCAGAGCCGGGCCGGGTGTGTGCGTTTGGCGGGGGTGGGGGTGGGGCACCGGCCAGGCCTTGGGGTCTCTGCCTTCTCCTGCCGGGCCCGACGGGGCAGGACTCAGGTCTCCAGGGCATCACCTCTGATGCCACGTGGTGTCAACTCATCACTTTCTGTTAGAGATACGCCTGTCATGAAAACCATACCTACTGGGTGTCAGGGAAGAAGGGAGTCGGACACAGAGCGCGTGTCACGGTGCGCTCGGCCTCCCTAATGACCCGTGGGCCGTGAGGACCGCCCAGCAGAGACCGGCATGGGCCGCGTGCGGGCGGGACGTCTGCTCTCCTTGAGGTCCGGCCCTCCCCCTACCTGCACCAGGCTCGCCGGCAGAGGGAGCACCGGGCGCCTCTGAGGGTGAGGCGCGGGGTCCTGACGGCTCTGCCCCCACACTGGCCACACACGCCGGTTCCAGGTGCTCCCTCAGCCGCTCCCCTGGGCGGGTGTGTGGACAGAGCCCGGGACGTTACGCGGAGCGCCGCGTGAAGACAGACGTGTATGTTCCGAGGGCTTCTTAGCATTCACCAAAACGAGACGGCGCGTGGTGGCCACGTCCCGCTCGGGGGGGCCCCTCTGCTCCTCCCACACGAAGTTCCCTGGGCTCCCTGGACACGCGGGACGGCAGACAAAGGGCCCCTGGGACGGGCCGTGGGGCTGCCCTGCACGGTGTGACTCCTGCCCTTCCCTCTTTCTTCCAGGATCCTGGTGGCCGACAACCAGCTGTTCAGCGGCTCCTACGACCGGACAGCTCGAGCCTGGAGCGTGGACAAGGGGCAGGTGTCCCAGGAGTTCCGGGGCCACCGCAACTGCGTGTTGACCCTCGCCTACTCCGCCCCATGGGACCTGCCCGGGGCCCCCTGCGCCGAGGAGGCCGGGGGGCTGCTGGTGACGGGCAGCACGGACGGCACGGCCAGGGTGTGGCAGGTGGCCGGCGGCGGCTGCTGGCAGACGCTGCGGGGCCACACAGGCGCCGTGCTCTGCCTTGTGCTGGACACGCCCAGTCACACGGCCTTCACCGGCAGCACCGACGCCACCATCCGCGCCTGGGACATCCTGAGCGGGGAACAGCTGCGGGTGTTCAGGGAGCACCAGGGCCCTGTCATCTGTCTGGAGGTGAGATCCGCCCGGCCCTTGCCTGTCCGCCAGGGAGGCATCCTCCCAGCTGCCACGGACCGGGGGAGAGGGGTGGGGCTCAGACAATGGAGATGGAGGGTCTCATGGTTCTGGAGGCTGGAAGGCCAAGGCCAAGGTGCCAGCTTGTAGCCGGACGTCTTCTCCCTGCGTCCTCACGCGGTCTCCCCTCCGCATCCAGAATTCCTCTGCTGACAAGGACACCGGTCCGACCGGATGAGACGGCCACCCTAGTGAATTCAAGTTCACTTAGCCACCTCCTTCGAGACCCTGTCTCCAAATACAGTCACGTTCACAGATCCGGGGGTTAAGGCTGTGCTCCACACGCGAATTCTGGTCTCCTCACACGTTAGGTGAGGACTAGGTCTACCGACCCACGAGCCCCCGGTCCACGATTCCTTAATGCAAACGTTCTAAAACCTGAAGCCTTCTTAAAGATTTAGGCTCGGCAGCAAAACTTAGTTGGTGGCAAAGCCTGGACAGAGAGGAGGCTCGTCGCAATTCGCTTTTGCCCGCTTCCTGGGAATATGCACCCTGTTGCCGTAGAGACAGGAGCGTGCTGCTAAAATCCAAAAGCTCCTGAAACACGTCCGGCCCCAAGATTTTGGCTCGGGGCCTCTGAGCGTGAAGTGGCGCTCACCCCCAGGGGTTGAGAGGATCCAATGGATTCGCTGTAGGCACAGCACGGTGGCCCGTGCGTGGCTTGTTCTGCTTGTGTCTGCTGCTGTTAAGCATCTAACAGACGTGCTTACATTTTCTCATGGGGCACGTGCGAGGACAGAGGCTCAGAGAGGGTCAGCAGCTTGCCGCACGCCTCACAGCTGGTAAGGGGCAGAGGAGGATTGGTACCTGGGGCTGAACACGTCACCTGTCCTCGTGACCAGCAGCTTAGAAAAGTGCGACGGGGCCTGAACCGTGGGGGAGTCAGGGGGCCTCTTCTAGCAGTTCTGCCCAGGAGGTGGACTGTCCAGAGCCCCGCTGTGCCCCGCAGGCTGGCCCGGTGGCTCCTCTAACCCCGGGTTAGAGCAACTGGTGCACTTGCTGCTGTGAGCTGAGGGGGGAGAGGCGTGCACCCCAGGGCCTCCACGGCAGAGTCCCAGGCTCACAAGCCTCATCCTGCCGCCTGTTTGGGTGGATCCCGTGGCAGGGGCGTGGCCCGTGAGCCCCACCCCCTCGGAGCTGTCTTGGCTGAGGGAGGTCTTGCAGGACCTGTGTCCTTTGTGATAGGCCCTCGTCAGGGTCTGTCTGCTTCCCCATCTGCCTCGGGCCTCCTCTGGCCTCCCCAAACTGCCCCGCTGTTCCCTGTGGGCGTCCCCCCGGGAAAGCAGCCCAAGGGAACGGCGAGGCCTCACGCAGCCAAGGACGACAGGGTTGGAGCGTTTCCTTGGCCTCGGATTTGTGCTCTGAAATTGTGCTGCTTGGTCACTTTATTTATTTATTTATTTATTTTTATTTTTTTCAACGTTTTTTATTTATTTTTGGGACAGAGAGAGACAGAGCATGAATGGGGGAGGGGCAGAGAGAGAGGGAGACACAGAATCGGAAACAGGCTCCAGGCTCTGAGCCATCAGCCCAGAGCCCGACGCGGGGCTCGAACTCACGGACCGCGAGATCGTGACCTGGCTGAAGTCGGACGCTCAACCGACTGCGCCACCCAGGCGCCCCTGCTTGGTCACTTTTAAACACAGCGTGGCAGGCCCCACGTTGTTGGGACACGCTACGTGGGGAGCAAGAGATAGCTCCCCTCCGCCGGGGCAGCCGCGGAGTCTCAGCACCTCCTCTGCGTGGGCTGAGCGGCACGCAGCCGCGGATGCTGGGGACAGCGACAGATGCCGGGGAATGGTCAGGAAACACGGGGCAGGGGGCAGGCACAGTGTGGGGGGCGGCGTGAGGAGGCATCCCGGGGGCGGCTTGCCCACAAAGAAAGAGGACAGCACAGGGACGCTGGAACATGGGCAGGAGCTGAGCCCCTGCAGGGTGCTGCAGATAGCCAGAAGACTGAGTGCCGTCCTGAGCCCTGCTGGAGCCCCTTGGGCATGCGGGTGTCACACGTGTCCCTGTTCTTGGGGAGGGGACAATAAGAGAGGCCGGAAGTCAGGCTCTGTTGGCCGGGGCCAGTCGTAAACTATCAGGACTGTAGGGCAGGGCCGGGGAGAGGGGCCCTGTCTGTGTCCCCCCCCCCTTGTGTCCTCCGGAAACCAGCGGCAGCCTCCGCCTCCAGGAGGCCGAGTGTATTCCTCGAGGTCCCACCACCTGTGCTGCAGTGAGTGGCCCAAAGCCAGGTCTGACCTGTGCCGTGGCTGCGGGTGGAACTAGAACCTGGGCTAGCGAGAGTCCTGTCCTCTGGGATTTAAACTGGGAGATGACGTGGGGAAACCGGGTCAGCGGTGGGAACCGGAGTGGAAAGCGGCCCAGAGCGTGGCCGGGATCGGGCTCTCAAGCTAGGAGGGCCTGGGGCAGGTGGAGGAGGCCGGTGGCCAGCCTGTGCATGCTCCAGGCCGGCTGCCTGCTGCCCCCACCCCCCCTTGGGAAGGGCCTCATCTTTCCTACGCCCCCAGGGGTCTCTGGGCCCTGGCACCATCAGGAAGAGCTCTCTCCAGAGCTTCTCGCCTGCCCTCCTCACCCAACTTTCGCTTCTCTGCATCACTGCTACCCAGAGGTGCTGCATGGGGTTTTGTCTAGAGGAATATGCAGGGTTCTTTTAATAGTCTTTCTTTGCAGTTCTTGGGCCAGTACACTACCTTGGCAGGGGGTGCTCCTGGGAGGGGGCCTCCCCAAGCCCCTTCCCTTCTCTCCCAGGCCCTTTCCTTACCTCCCGCCACACCAAGCAGGGCTGGGAATGCCACTCTAGTGAGCCAGGGCGGGCGGGAAGTGGGGGAGCCTGTCTCCAGGGCCTCCTCCCTCCCCACCAGGGCAGCCCCAGGCGCAGGAGGTCAGGACCCAGGGACGGCCCCCCGGGGGGCAAAGATCTACCTTGGACATAACTGCGGCCAGTCAGGGTACCTCTAGACCTTTCTCTTTCCAATATGCACCTCTGCGTGCAAAGGTGCAGAGTGAGAGCCCCGCCCCGGGAGCCCTTTCCTCAGCCGGAAACCCCTGGGGCCGCCTGGCCGTGGCCGCGGGTGGATTCGCGTTAACCTTCCCAGGCACTGCCTCTTCTTCAGTAGGGAGCTGCTGAAGCCGTAATGACAGCACCGCGAACCTTTCGTGGTCCTTGCTCTTAGGGTGCCGAGCGCTGTACAGGCCCGCTCTGCACCCCCGGAGGGAGGCGCAGGCAGAGTCAGTGACTTGGCCCAGGGCAAAGCGACAGGATTCTTGGGCGCCGGAGTGGGCCGCTGGGTGGGTCCCGCAGGCCGGGCCATTTCCTGCCCATCCGGTTTCCAGGGAGACCCGGACACGCCCCTCCCCTGTTAGCCAGAGAGATTTGGAGGGGGCCTCGAGTCGCCTGCTGCCGCCAGCAGGACCGGAAGTCTGGTGGTGACCCGCCCTTCTCCCCCCTCCCCCCAGCTTGTGAACCGGCACGTGTACTCGGGCAGCGCGGACAGGACGGTCAAGTGCTGGCTGGCAGACACGGGGGAGCGCGTGCGCACGTTTGCAGCCCACGGACACAGCGTGAGCGCCCTCAAATACCATGCGGGCACCTGTAAGTGACCCTTGTCCCCGGCGGTCCCCACACCACCCCAACCTGCCTGTGCCCTCCACTCCTCACCCTACCAAGTCCTCCCTCCCTCGGGGCCTCTCTGCCTCTCTGCTTCTTACTCGACTGTTCCCTTCGTGAGCCTCAGCGGCCAGTCGGGAGGACCAACAGCCCACCCCCCTCCACGTACATGTGCCTGCGGCGTTATTTCCAAAGAAGGTCCAAACGAGGGTGTGGGGATTCCTCCCCACTTGCACCCCACAAGAACGTGCAGCAGCCTGAATGGTCAGAAGTCCCAGGGTTAAGAGCACTGTCTCACGGACACATTCTAATTCTCTAAGTGAAACAGAGACTACTTACTCCAGCCAGACCTGAGGGCTGCGCGCCTTTGGCTTCACCTGGCATTAGGTTTGACTACAGACAAGAGCCCAGATAACAGTGCTTTAAATGAAACAGTGGTTTATTTTTCTCAGGTAGAATTTCAGAGGCTGGCAGTCTAGACAGGAATGGATGGTTGCACCAAGTCAGTCAGGCACCCAGTCTCCTTTGATCACTTTGCACATCACCCTTAGTACATATCTTCTAGTCTTTAGGGGACCTCATGGTTTAATATAGCTGCTGGAGCTCCAGCCATCATGTCATGTTTTAGACAGGAAGAAGAGGGAAGGGCAAAAGGATGCATCTCTTAGCTGAGTAGATCCTTTTTTTTTTTTTTTAAAGTTTATTTATTTTGAAAGAGAGACAGAGAGTGCGCGCACGAGCAGGGGAGAGGCAGAGAGTCTAGAGAGGAAGAGAGAATCCCAAGCAGAATCCACACTTTCAGTGCGGGCCCAACATGGGGCTCAAACCCACAAACCGTGATATATCATGACCTGAGCCAAACATCAAGAGTCAGATGCTTAACCGACTGAGCCACCCAGGTGCTCCAGCTGAGGAGGTCCCTTTAAAGATCTTTCTTAGGGGCACTCGGGTGGCTCAGTTGGTTAAGCAGCCGACTTCAGCTCAAGTCATGATATTGGAGTTCATGAGTTCAAGCCCCGCATCCGGCTCTGTGCTGACAGAGCCTGGAGCCTGCTTCAGATTCTGTGTCCCCCTCTCTCTCTGGCCCTCCCCTGCTCATACTCTATCACTCTCTCAAAACAAAACAAAAAAAGATCTTTCTTGGAAGCCCTGCCCAAAGTCTCTGTGCATATACCTCTTTGACCACAGCCTGCAAGGACTAAATAATAAAATCTCTTATCTGGGATATTGCTTCCAGGATGAATCAGGGCTAGTTTGGGAAGAAAGACAGACAGACTGGCTTATCGGGTAGGCAACAAACTGTCTGGCCCACAGGTCTCAAACTGACACACCTGAGCTTTACTGGCTCTGTCCTATGGGCTTGACACATGTTCACCCCCAGACATGCCCAGAAAACAGTCCCCCCCCAACCTCATCACATCACACCTGCATGGGAGTGGGGCTCCCGGGTTCCTGAACGTATCTGTTTCCCCAAACAATCCCCAGCGTTATGTGTTGCCATCAGCACCGCCTTCCCCCCTCTTTTTACACACACACACACACACACACACACACACACACACACACACACATACACACACAGAGGGAGCAGAGGGGTGGGAAGAGACACAGCAGAAAATTCCAGTTGATTTCACAGCACAGGTGTTTGATGAAGACAGAATGTGGATCTCTGAAAATAGAGCCTGAGATGCCCTCAGGATTTAGGTGTCTGACACGGAAAAATTATTTTTTCCTTTTTCCTGTGTCCAAGCCTATAAGTGTGATTATGGCTCTGCTCCCAAGTCACAACCTCTAATGTAAAAAGATGAAAGCTGTCCAGAGCGCCTCACTTTGGCAGCAGCTGGGACGGCCCCTACCTGCTGCCCGCTATTAAGGAAATTGGTCCGTGGTCTTTGCCCACAGGGTGCAGGCTGACCAGACTTAATTCCTGACCCTCTTCTCGCCCACAGGGTGCCCAGCAGCCACACTGGGTTGGGGGAGGGGAAGCAGAAAGGAACAGAAGAGACCCAGGAAGGAACCCGCCCTCCCCCCAGAACCACATTCACCAGCAGCTTTAGCAGCAAGGCTGGGAATAGACAGGTGAAGCAGTTAGTGGGGTAAGGAATAGATCCCCGAGGCCAGGGAGGCCCCATGGCTCGCTAGGCTGCTGGGTGGGGGTAGCAGGTGCTGTGGGTAACTTCTGCTGCTGTAACTGAGGTCCTCTGTGCTAGGGTGTTTTCCTGTGAGGAGCAGGTCGGAGGAGGGCTGGTTCCTGATACCCACAAGAGAGGCCCTCAACCAATGACTGATGGGAACTGTGGATTAGTCGTCCAGCATCCTTGTCTCTCCCCGGGGCCCCGGGCCGGGGGCGGGGGGGAACTCTGAGACATGCTCTGCACCCTCTCCCAAGGGGCCCCAGCAGTCATCTGCTCACTAATACACCTTGTATGGGCCTCCTTCCTTCTTGTTTCTCTCCCCACCTCGTGGAATGCGCTCCCAAAGTGTTTGCACCCAGATCCTAGTGTCAGGGCTCACTTCTGGGAGAACCCAGGCTAAGACAATAAATAAACGAGGGAGTTCTTATGGTCAGTGTCCTCAGTGTGGTCCCTGACCAGCAGCAGCAGCACCGGGAACTGGTTAGACATGTAGGTTCCCAGACCTTTTAACACAGACACTCAGGTGGGCCCAGCAATCGGTCTTAGCCAGCCTTCCAGGTGATCACCGGAGTCTGGGAACTCTTGACCTAAGTTCTAATGTAGGAAAAGGCACAAGGAAGGCGGAATCCGGGGGCTTCCCCTGTGAGGGGTTGGGCGGGGGCACTCTAGCGAACCCCAGAGGCTCTGTTTGGAGGGCCAGGTTCATTACTGAGGAGGGGGAGGAACGAATTTCTGGTTGGTCCTTGCCCCAGTAGGCTGCTCAGATGGTGGGGGTGTATGACTGCCCCCACCCCAAGGCAGGGAGGGGCCTTGTAGCAGGGAAGCCACGCCTCACCAAAGGCTTAAAAGGCTTCCACCAAATGGTCTGAGGGGGAACGTGGGTCGAGGTGGTTGGTACTCAGGAGGAGTAGGAGCACCTGAGAGGGCAGCGCCGGCGCAGCCGCAGTCGTGCGGAGCTGGCCGTGGCGCAAGGAGGGGGTGGTCACCCTGCATTGCCAGGCACGTGGTAGGGTAATGAAGGTGCCGCCTCCTCCCTATCAAGGGGCTTCTGCTAGTTCCTATTTGGACCCTCTGGCTTCCCCGTGAGGCGGGCGGACGGGCGTCACCGTTCCCGCCCCGCCCCTCCCTGCTCCCCGCCCCTCCCTGCTCCCCGCCCCGCGGCGCCCCGAGGAGGTGGAGGCAGCGTGGCCCTGTGTTCGCAGTGTTCACCGGCAGCGGGGACGCCCGCGCGCGCGCCTTCGACGCCGAGTCTGGAGCGCTGCAGCGGGTGTTCCGCGGTCACGCCTTCGTCATCAACTGCATCCAGGTAGGCGCTCCCGCCCGGCTCCCGGGCTTTGAGCAAGGGCGAGCCCGGCGGCCTCGGCGGGGAGGGGGAGGCCGCCCCCGGCGCCCCGAGGCCCGGCTCTCCCCGGCGGAGTCGGCGAGGTAGGTGGCGTTCGCGCCGGCGTTCGGAGCTGCGGGCCCCGCGGCGGGAGGGCTGGCCCGGCGCCCCCGCAGCGCCGCCCC